TAGTAGTAGTAGTAGTAGTAGTCTCTCTTCGTCTCTGAGAATGAAGAGCTGCGTGCGGAGTTCCCTTCATCGAGCATGTGGAAGCTCCAAACCTTCTGGCGACCCCCAAACACACCTAAACAGAAACCATCAGGTTGGGATCTCCCACAATTCTTTCTTCAAGCCAAGGAATAAAGTACAGATGTCCCAAACAGTTTATGTTTGGGCGCTTTTTTGGTTACTGACCGTTAGGTGCTCTAAACATCGCAAGCTCCCATCCTGACGCCCTGAAAGCTTATGGCTGCAAAGCGAGTTTACAGGAAGTCGGGATCGCCGCGTATACCTGCAATGCACGTGAAACTCTGCCTGGCCGAAGGGGGCTCCATGGCAACATGTTCTTCACAAAACCACAACAACAAGCCTAAAAAACTGTCAAGGAGAACACGGTCTCCTCGAGGTCCGTCTTCTTGATGTTCTTCTGCACCCGCATGGAGGTGACCATGCCCTTCGGCTTGTGGTACCTGTGAGGCTCTGGGGTTCAGCTGTAGGGACTGGCCTCTCAAAGGCTTGAATTTGGGGCTCTGAAGGGGAGTTTGGAACAGCCAAAGCGAACGCCGGCAAAGCAGCCAAAGACCAACGACACAGCTGAGCCATGACCATCAGAGCATCACAAAGCTTGAAAGCTGCTCTTAAACTTGAAGGTGGCGATGGTGTAAAGACAGCGCTGGCTTTATGCTCTGGCTGGAGGAAAACAGCCTCTGTGGGTCCTATGACTGCATTTGCAAAACGAATGAAAGCTGGTCGGTCGGCCACCAACCGGCCACGCCATCTCAATACAGCGACTGTGCAAACTCTGCACCAAACAAGCCCCACACCGCCCGGGACGTGCGCACTTCACGAGCAGAGGCAACCTGTGCTAAAGCATTCCGGTCGGCGAGGATTTGCAAAACCACCACATCCAGGCCTGTGCTCTCTGCGAGCGAGAACAGGTCTTAAGCCAGCACCTCCCTGCGCAGGGCACGTGATTTGCGGAGCGTGTTCGGGTGCGGAGTTCGCCTAATTTGTATGGTGCGCCGCGCTTGTGCCAGGAGTCTGCGTAACATTATACCGCAAGGCACTGCATCGCTCTGTGGATGATAATCAACTGTCGACTTCGCAACGATAAGGGTGAGACATTTGAGCTACATACAGCTAAATGGCACGTGCATCCTACTGGCCGACCATCTGCATGACGACATCTGCGCCGAGGCTGTAGACAGTTGGGAAAAGGCATGGATCGACCTCGTACTGATGAAACTGTGTGAATCCGACTTAGTCGAGATTGGGCTCCTTCTGAAAGGTTCTCAGAAGATCCATGTCACGATCCCAGGGAGCAAATGTCGCTTAAACAATTCCGTAGCTCATCTACAAAACGCTTTAAAGCTTCTCGAGCAAAGTGCCGATGAAGTGGAAGATCGTCGGCTAGATCTCTCATCAGTTCAGCGAGTTGACTGATTTGACTTGCCCTTCGCCTGCGGGAAAGCTCGTGCGGGATTTCTCAACCCAAGCCGCGTGAATGCGTTTAGGCGCTCGGCAGCTGTGAACCACAGTCATGTCCAAAAAACGGAGAAAGCTTCTACATACATGGATTTGATTTCAACCCTTGTCACTATCGTTGAGACAACAGTGTGTCTCACGTCGCGTGCAGCGAACCCTTCAGCGTGAATCCAGAACTGTCGTTGCAACAGGCATGACAGTCGTCCGATGAGAACCACAGGTTGAAGGAAGCATATGTATACATATATATATATACACACATAAAAAACATGTATATGTATATATGCATATACTTATGCTTTATCTATTTATTTGTATGTGTATGTGTATGTGTATGTGTATGTGTACGTGTACGTGTACGTGTACGTATACGTATATGTATATGTATATGTGCATGTACATGTACATGTACATGTACATGTACATGTATATGTATATGTATATGTATGTATGTATGTATATATATATATATTTACTATTATTTAAATTATATGTAGATATAGATCAGGCGCCGTGTAGAAAGCACTACGGCCATCTCTGGGTCATCTCTTTGCCTTGCCCTTGGGCTTGTTCCGGGTTCGTCGGCTGGGTTCCTCCACCTGAGCTCGGCGGGGGCGGAGGGTGAAGGACTTTTCGCTTGAAAGCTTTGTTAGTGAGACTTTCTGAGCACGGTCCCACCTCCAACTCAGGGTCATCCATGGACAGCACCGGATGCCCGTCCTCCTTCACTTCCTCACAGCAGCAGGAACTCGAAACAAAAGTACAACGGTTGACGTGCCGACGTGCCACAGCCTTTTTTTGACAAAGACTCCCTGCAACAAACACTAATGGAACATACACACATGCTATACTATACACTGAACTGTTTAATTCCGAGACTACAGCTCTCTGCTGTACTTGGTTGCAAGATTAAGCATTCCTGCACGGGTTTCCTGAACTGGCAAAAGGCTGCCTGAAGCAACGGCCTGTCTGGACCCCGTCCCAACTGACCACGCGGCTGCCTCCACTCGCATGCCCTGCACGCTGTCGCCCCTTCGGAACTCGCCCTTCAGCTCGGCCGGAACCTCGAAACTTGGCGGAGCCGTGACGGAGCAAGAGAAGTTGTCTGCAGAGTTTTGCTGGGCGAGCTCAGACATTCGCTATGCCGATTCCTGCCGTATGTCGGTGGATGTGCAGCAAAACCATGCCTTACTAGTTCTAGGAACCCAACCAGGAACCCAGCCCACGTCGCTTGAATTGAGCAACAATGCTTCGACCCCGCGATCCGACGATCAGGCCCTAATGTCTGCTGTGAACACGCGAACAGGGCTCGCATGGACTTACACTGTTCATGCCAAAACCACGTACTATGCATGCTTCTTGAACAACTCTAAGAAAATGCAAGCTACGTACTTTTCAAGCATCTTCCGACCGAAAAGGACCGCAAGAATCCCCACTGAGCCTCGAGGAGACCCTTTTTTCCGCCACCAATGTTCACCTGAAAAAAAGCAGGCGGACTCGCTGTAGAAATGGGGATTTTTGGGAAATGTCTGGGAGAGTTTCGCATATTTATGACGTTGCTTCCTGCAAGCCTCGAATTTTTCTGAGCAGCCTCTAGCTTTGAAGTTTGGCAACTGGGGCTTTCTGGGTGTAGGCTGCTGGCTTTATTTAGATTCGGGTCCTTGTAGCTGTCTGGTATGGATAGTAGCTTATACTATATATGCTAGGGGAAGAGTATGTTAGGTAGCTTGTGGTCGGTTCTGCATGTGAGCATGCATGCTCCTGCATCGTGGGATGCCTATGCTGCAAAGCAGTCGCATTCGTTCCTTGGCCCCAAACGCGACCAACCAACATCTGGAACGAGATCTACACTGGCCGCGCAGAGCAGCTTTGCGAAGTCGCGTGCAGGCGGAACAAAACAGGTGCTGAGTGTCCGGGAATCCTGCAAAACACAGTGGTGCAAGGAACTTGAAGGTACTCCGGTATTGCATGTCCGTGTCTGAGCGCGATGCAAAGATCTATTTTGCCTGACGAAGCTGACATGTACTTTGCTCTTCTGGGCTGCACTGCACGACTCTCAGTTCTGCAACCCTACAGCCCACCGAACTCAAAGTTCGAAGCCGCAGAACCGAGAACCTGCAGAGATCCTTTCCAAACTCCCCCTAGTCCTAAAACTCTATAAGGGCCTAGACCAACCGAACTCCAAACCGGAAACTCCAAAGCCCTAAAGCCCCGCCGAAAGCCTCAATTTAAGGTCCTAAAGGATCCTACCGCCGAAACCCGCCTAGAGCCCTCAAACCTCTAAAAGCCTAAACTCACATTGTCCCATGACGCCCTGAAGCCCCTTTTTTTTATACAGTGCAGCACAAGGAGCCCAAACACCCTTGGCGTTGATCGTCGTGACGACCCCGTCTACCAGGTCGCCGGGCTCCAGCTGCATCTCCTCTCATTCAAGTTTAAGGGTTTAGGGTTTAGGGGTTTAGGGGTTAGGGTATTCAAACTTAAGGGTTCAAAAGGGGAACTATATGGTTTAAGGTTTGGTGTTTCTCTGTGCAGGGTCGAGCGGGGGTCGGGTCTAGGATTTAATTCTATAATGTTCCCGTTTCTGCAGCGCAATATGGATGTCTCTCATGGTTGATAGGGGGCCTGCTGGGCTTCACGAGTCTTTGCTGCTTCAGGGTCTGGACTTTCCTTCGGATGGCTCAACAATTACGCAACATATTTCTACGGATGGCAGCATGTAACTATGGGAGGGGGAAGTGTTTACGCAACAAGACGGTAACACATAAGCGGCTGTAAGCAAAAGAATAACGTACATACACATGCATGGTACGCTTATATATAAGAGCTCCAAAGAAGCTAGTGGGGGAGTATAGTATGACGATATAGGAGTTTTTAATACTATAGTTATAACTGGTTGCTAGTTGTGCTAGTGTTTACTGTATGATACCATACTATACCTTAGTACAGCCTGGCGGCGCAGTATCTCTGAATCTCACGCGCCATGCCCGTCGGATCGCGCCTCTGGCTCCTCTTCCTTGACTTCCTTTTCTTCCTTTAGCTCCGGCTCAGCCACTTCTTCCTGAGGTGTTCGAACATGCGCCGCTCGCAACAAAGAGTGGAATTAACCGAAATACGGTGTGACGCTTGCTCTGATGCCTTCACCATCCTTCACCTTTACGAATAGTGGCCCCACTCACCGGCTTGCACTACAGAATACACAATAATGTACGGTGGCATCGTGTATACCACGTTTCTCCAGGCTGCAACTTTGGGTTGCGACTTCGCCTTCGGTACCCTGGCAGGCTCCTGCGATAGAAACGGGACACAACTTGCATGGAGTTGAGATGCAATGAAATGTATATAGAAGTATGAACCAAGAGCCATCGGCGAAATCTTCACAGTGGACAGAGAGACTAAGCCAAATAGCCTGATCAGCCTTTCATAGAAGAAGCAGTCACATGCAGTAATAGCACCAACATGGTAGCACTTAGCTGTCACTCCGTCTACTACTGCCGCGACGACAACCACAAACTACACCGCACCAACAGCAGCAACAACACCAACAACACCAACACCACCACCACCACCACCACCAACACCAACACCAACACCAACACCAACAACACCAACAACACCAACAACACCAACAACACCAACAACACCAACACCAACAACACCACCAACACCAACAACAACAACAACAACAACAAACAACAAACAACAAACAACAAACAACAAACA